ATGCAAATTTTCAGATTTAAATATTAATGAAAGCCTGAATACTTTTAGCTGTAGATGCCTTAAACTTAGGACAGAGTAAAGAAATTTAGATGTGTGATTTTGGAACAAGACCATACACACATTTGCGAAATGCACAACCCAACCTTTGTCTTTTATCCGAACCAAATTCCTTTGACTTTTGACATTGAACTGATAAGATGGACGGAAGATAATGGAGTACTGACCGATGCTTCAGTGAATACAGTTTAAAAGAAAGTGACGACGGTGTAAACATGCGCGTCAATAGGATTTTATCGAGGATTTTATGCATTGTCTTTCTCATATATGTGGTTAAAGGGAGTTATGTGATACCACCATTAAAATTAGAAGCTTTAAAGAAGGGAGGATTTCGTGTTTACTTTCCCGGTAAGTAATTCGAATCTTAAAATGTGAAACTTTAGTAACGTGATCTCACATATCTCCTTAATTTTGAAGATATTTGATTGACCGTTGGGGCATGGTAGACATATACCAAGTAGCACTTTTTGACATAAAACGGATTTTTTTACTTCCAGTTTCACCACATGTACCCCTAACAAGATCATTACAACAATATAGCATTTTCTCATCTTCTTTTAGATGTCATTTAGTTTGTATAGTGCAGGGTACCTTTTAGTTTTAGCTCAAACTACTGCTCATTAATCACGTAGTTCAGTATTTTTAGTAAGATTTCGATTTTATAGAATTACAAGGGCCGCCTTAAATTAAAAAAACAAAAGGTCACATTTCAAAGGTCACATATTTGGTGTCGTTGAATTCAGAAAATTATTCAGAATTTAATGCAATATTATACAGGGTGTTCTATTTAAACATTTTCGGCGAAACCGAAAGTAAAATATATATAAGTAGTCAGCTGTATGTCGTAAGGTGCCGCTTATTATACGCGTATATGGAACATGTCCCAAATTTTAATTAAAAATTTTCAAAACTACGAGAGCTAAGTGGTTTTGGTACACCCGGTATTTGCGTATTCAACTCCAGTGTGTATATTCGCTTTTTACACGATTATAAATGTTGGATTTCCCATGGCGAAATTGTATGACGGCATGGGATTTCCCATGTAGGTAATCGATAAAGCGCACATTAACATTATCTACTTTCGAAGTAATATCACGACTGAATTTGTTAACCTTCATACTCGGTATACCTATCTATAGTCGATCTGCTTTAAATGATATTAAAAAATTTGCTAAACCAAACGAGATAAAGCACTATCGCTTCCAAATATTCTCCTATGTCCACAGTGATCCGTACCTACTCCTGAAAAGTGTTACTTTTTGTGCATTGCATTATTGACACAATACGAACGCTTAAATTCATTCGTGCCCCCAAAGAAAAATCTTCTTCTAATCAAAAGCCCTCACGTTTCGTCGTTAAAATGTAATGACCATTGGTTTAACAGGAATTTCACAATAACTTGCACCATTCAAAAACCGTTCGATTTAGATTTATGGTCCCTTATATCAAATATCAGAAAAGTAGTAAGTGACATTGAAAATGTTTCATATTCTTAATTTCCCATCTGTGGGTCAGATTGGGTATTAACTAAATAATACTAAACCTCTAACTATAAATTATTTATATCGTCGCCTAGTTACCTCTTCACATGACCACTTCGATCTCGCGTTCAAAGAGGGGAGAATAATTACCAAAAGGGAGAAACAAGGCAGAGATCCTTGTTCTGACATGTCCATGAACCTAGCAGAGCAAGGTCAGCAGAACACAATTAAACATATTGCATAATTAGGTGCTAATTATGTGTCCTATTCCCGAATTAAATGCTCATTTTTTTTAATTATTACATGTTTTGCCAGGTGCATATAAACTCATCAGAGCACTATCTCAAAAAACTAAGAAAATGAAAAGTGAACTAACTATAATTAGGTGCTAATTAAGTGCCCTATCCCCGAATTAAATGCTATATACATAGGGATTTAACATGGGAAATTAGTTTTATGCACGATCCTACCCTCCTGACATTTTACAGAAAAAACTGTAGAGTTTAAAGTTGTTCAGAATTAAAAGGTGCATACAAAACTGTTTTTACATGTTTTATTAAGCTTTTGGTATACCCGCAAATTTTAAAATAACCATGACTATTGTTGTTTTATGAAATGCTACTAATAACAGAAATGTTGAAATTTATTTTTCCCCTTTCGATTACAGTTTACATTAAATCGTTGCTATTAGACCAAAGAACTTTGTGTGTCCATATTGCAAGGCTACTGAAGGCCCTGGATTATGTTGCGCCAGTGGCCAAGTGAAATTGATGCCATAGGTACGGCCACCAGAGCCACTACAATCCTTGGTTTCCGGAAATGGGCCAGATTCTATACATTTTTTTATTCATATCCTGAAATACAATAATTGCTTTCAAATTACGGCATTTGGCGCAAAAAAAGGTACGTTGCTGGCTCTGAATCACCAAAAACAACTATAGAAGTGAGTGCGTTTATTTTTTATTATATTGGGGAGAGATGGGGAGATTTTGTGGCAAGTGTGTCAAAATCTCTTTTCCGGCTAAACAGTTGAAACCGATTTAAACCAAATTTGCTACACATATTCTTAGACACAAAAGAGCAGAATCGCGCATGCACAGGTGGGGCGGGTGGTACCTGTGCTAGCCACAGCAAATTTTTTTGTTATTATTTATTTCAGTCCGAATTGAATAGGTATTCATAGCTAATGTTGACGCAACATTAACCATTTCATTTTTCTAATAATTTTTTAATTTATTTCATTGCGGATAAATTTTCCTTTATTCAAAATTCTATCTAAAAGTGTTTATCTGCAAACCTTCGCCGACGAAAAGGGCAGACGAGAGTTGGCGTTTCGAATGCAGACACGTAAACGAACTAAAAATTTACCGAAGTTTTTCTATGTTAAGTGGCTAGTGCCGGTTACTACTACAACTGCAAGCTGATAAATGGGATCCCCGCACCTACAAAAATCCAGAAAAGGGTAAGTGGATGAGCATTGGTGTGTATATTGTTTGCCTAATTTTCTAAATACAGTCCGCTACAAAAAATACAATTTTTTCATTACTTTTGCGTGGACAGCTAAGAAAGAGGACAATGTCCGTCGGGTCAGCTAGTAATATATAAATCTGCTATGTCAATGTTCGAATTCAAAATGATTTTTAGTAAAAGCGGATCACGTAGTCAGAGAAAATATTAGTATCAAAACAGACTTCCGCAGAAAACAATGGAGCTATAATCGTTCAGTAAATATAAAGCAAAGGTAGTAATTACAATTCGATTGTATCGAAAACCAGTGTGTAATCAAACGTTATATGAAGAAGTCGACGAAACAGAGTTTGGTCGTAGCGGTCGTCTCAATTCAGAAGGGCGCGTTCAGCCTTTTCTGTAACAGATACCAACACAAACAAACAAATAAGAGAGGTAGTGAATAGCGCGGCACATAAAATATTACGAAATAGCAATGCGTCTGACACAGACATGTTGGCATATGACAGGTTAGGGGCGATTATTCCCAGCTGATACAAGGCTTCGTGAAATGATGGAATGATTCGAACTGTAAAATGGATCTTTGCGTGGGATACATTTTCTTCTACTAATTTGTCAGGGAGTCGTAGTTTGAAATAATCTAGGTAGCTTTGCAAATAAAATGTGGTCAAGGTATGCAGGTTTCAGGGTCCGAGTCTGTCCGAAGTTGTCCGATTAGACAACATTTGAGGCTGTCAAAGGACGATCAAAACACGGCTTACTCTGGCAACCGAGACCCGAATAAATGCCAAATGCAAGTTTTACAAATCCCACGATAGGAGGGACATAATGCTTAATTCGCAATTTTAATCACGTAGCCGTAATTAGGATAACGGAATATAACTCAAACCCCGGACAGAGGGCGATACCGTTTTCTGTTCCCTCACCCACTAATGTTTACACCCTGTAGATATGTCTAAACTGTTCGAATTCTAAAAATCCCAATGTTACCTATCTCTATTGATTGATATTGATTCTTTGATTGTCGTGGACAGTTGCCGGTTGACTTCTTACCGCAAGGTTATTGCAATGCTCTGGACCCTCCGAAGCTGAAAATCAAACGATCAGGCCGGTACCCCGTCATAACAGCCCGGCCAGAATGGCCTTGCCAAAATAGCCCCGCCAAAACAGCCTGCACACAAAATAGCCCCGTCATAATAGCCTCCATAAATGTTATTCCTATAACTATAAGCAGTGCAGGACTTCGCCTAGATACTATGTATTAGTCCAGTGGCGAGCCACTTGGAGACATTCCGTTGGGATTTAAGTTGTTTTATCCATACGGATTTATTATACCATATTATATCTATTTATAAAGTAGCTTTATAAAAATATGTTAATTATTATTTTTACTTTTCTAATCAAAGTGGTACCTAATACATTTTCTGGTGATTAATTAACTGATCATTAACTTGGTACAATTGCAAATCATAATGGAATGCATTGCCAATTATCAAATTGTGCCCATTGCCCATTAATGTTAGTTTACTACGGTGACTTAATTGCGAGTAGGTACCTACATAGTTCCCAAGGCCAAAAATTTCTAAATTCCTTAAGCATTGGATGGGTGTAATTAAATAATCGACTAGCCCCTAATGAGTTTGAAATCTATATAAAGGGCTGATAAATTGTTAAATAAATCAATTTAGTGTTGTCTGTGTCACGGTTGCCAGTTTTTTGTATAATCAAAGAGTATAATGGAGAAAATAGTGTAATGGGTTGGAGTTTTTTAAAACCAAATTTACACGTTCTTTACGTCCTAGAAAGAATTTTTTGATTACAATGTAACTTAGATATAAAGTGCAAAGGACAGATTCTATTTTTAAAGTGCTTTTGTTTCATTTTTATATGAATGCGATTTATACGGTGCGAGGGGAATTTTTATGCGGAGTAAAAGTGCAGAGAGTCGGCGTTCAACCATCGAGTAGTAAAGGTGGTGATCAGTGTCTGGAAATTTGCAGTACGCGGTATACGCAGGTAGCGTACTACGATTTCAATACGCAACAAAAAGTCAAAAGTGGTAGTGTGACGTCGCCGAACGTTTTAAAATTGAGATAGCGTAAATAAAGTTATCGAGATATTTTACGCCCACATCGTTATCTAAGGGTGGAATTTGGGGTCTGCGTACCAACGTAGTTTGTTTCCCAGCCTGGAAGAGGAGCCTATGCAGCGTTAGTTTTTCCCGCCGGCGTATTGTTTTCCGCCAGCGAGTATTTTTGGGTATTTCCACCTTGAGAAGATTAGATTTGGGAAATTTGGCAGTCCACCACCACCAGTTTGATTTCCTGTAACGACAAAACCGAACGCCTGGAATGCGAGGTCACCAACCTGTTCCCAGCGGATGTAAGGCGATTAGATAAGAAGCAACGCCATTACCGAGATGAATTAAGGTAGAATTTGCAGTTTTATATTTGATAAACTTGATTAAATCGTGAAGTTTGCGTATTTTTGATCGATCTGAACAATTTTATATTTGACTTTTGGGGTTTTATGTATTTTAGGGGATTGTATAACAGTTAAATTTGATTAAGGTACCAGTTAAAGGAAATGTCCGTTATTTTTGATTATTAAGCTTTACCGTTCTTTTAAGGGCGGAGATATTTATATGTTTTAAATCCATTGACTTTCAAATAAAGGTATTAAGGATAATTAATGTTAATTCTCTGTAATTTCTCAAGGAGGTCAAGAAGTTTGCTTATAAAGGAAACCCAAATTGTTGCCTTTACATACCAATCTCGGAAGCATATGAGAGTAGTAACGTCAAAACAACATTCTTCCAAATTTTGGTTACGTTTTTATGATTAATGAATGTTATACCGTGAGCTAGAATAGAACGAATTATCTTCCTATTTGCACCCATGTTATTATCTGAGCTAGCGGGTTAAAGAGGTACAGAAGGTAAGTCCTAAGTACTTTGAAGAGAGAAAAAGAAGATTTTTCACACCGACACGAACCTGAAAAATTACTGTTATTTTGTAAAGGGAAACATCCACGGCAAAATGGCGTACCTACGTTCAGTTTGTTAGGAAACCTTTACCAAAATAACGATAAATTGCGAGCAAGTTAAGAAAACCGCCGCAATAGTGTCACAGAAAGGAAAGGAGTTATTGTTGATAGATGGGCAGCGGTATCGACAAGCTCGAACGAATGCAGATGGCAGCATATCGTGGAGATGTGTTACTCTAAACTGCAGTGGACGATTAAAAGTGTCCAGAGGCGACGTGATTAATGTTATCACAGAACATAACCATGCTCCAAATCCAGAAAAGAACATGGCGGCGGTTAAATGTGTTGCAGAAATGAAAGTGAGAGCAGCAAACTGTGTAGAAAACCCTCGGCAGATCATACAACACTGCAGCAATGGGTTAGCGCTAGGGGCATCAGTTCATTTGCCGACGTATACCGCATCCCAAAGAGCAATTGAACGGGTTAGAAAACGTGCAGAGCAGCCATATCCCAATCCAACAGCCGTTGCTGATATTACAATCCCTACAGCTTTGCAAACTACTTCCAGAAATGCGAATTTCCTTTTATGGGATTCAGGTGCAGAAGACCCTAATCGCATATTTATGTTTGGTACAGAACAAAATCTGAACATCTTAGAACAACATCGGCATTGGTTTGTTGATGGAACTTTTAAAGTTGCGCCAGAATTATTTCTGCAAGTTTTTACTATCCACGCGTTGGTCGAAAACACCTGTATGCCGTTAGTGTACGTTCTTTTACAAGACAAAAGTGAGATGTCGTACGTTCGTGTATTTCAAAAACTGTTGGACTTGAAGATAACGCTGAATCCAATAAGTGTGACGTCAGATTTCGAAAAAGCTATCCATAACGCAGTATCACGCGTATTTGATGAAGTACAAATTGTTGGATGCTTATTTCATCTAGGGCAGTCTCTGTGGAGAAGAGTACAACTATGCAATTTAACAGAGGATTATCTAAATAATGAAAATGTGAGCCAGCATACCAAAATGCTTTTATCTTTGAGTTTTGTTCCTCCGAACGATGTAATCATGGCCTTCGAAGAATTAGTTGAGAACTGCCCAAACACCTTGGATCCCATAGTGGACTACTGGGAAGATACTTATATAGGACGACTTCGACGGAATCGAAGAGGTGACCCTCGTTTCCCAATTGCAATCTGGAATGTGTACAACAGAGTTGCAGATAGACTTCCACGTACTAATAATTCAGTCGAAGGTTGGCATCGTGCTTTTCAACAAACTTTAAACTGTCACCATCCGTCTGTTTATAAACTAATCGATCAATTTAAGAAAGAACAGGATCATGTTGAAATACTACACACCCGCATAACCGCTGGTATTCAACATCCGGAATCGTCAAAACGGAAGTACGTGCAGCTAAATCGAAGACTGGAGGTACTGACCGACAATTACGACAATACCGCTGTTATGGATTACCTCAGAGGAATTTCACATAATATGGAGATATAACATCATGGTGAATTAAGTTTTGCGATTATTCATTGGTTTTCGGTTTTGGGTTTTATTTAGTGGTTCTAGGATATTTTGTGCGTACAGGAATTTTTTGTATTGTACTTTGTATTTGAATTTTGTATACTTTTTTTTCACAATAAAATTTGTTTTCTTTTATTAAGGTTTATTTTGCCGTCTTAAGGAAAGTGCGTACTAAGGAATAAATTGAACCAGTATTGTTTCTATGTGGGCTATTTAGACGGGGCGATTATGACGGGGCGATTATGACGGCGCTGTTTTGTGTGCGGGCCATTTTGACGGGGCTATTTAGACGGGGCCATTTTGACGGGGCTATTTTGACGGGCCACGGATCAGGCCTTCTCCCAGAGAGTGTGATTTTTCTGCATGAAAATGCTCGTACTCACGATGCCCGTAAGACTGGGGCGAAACTGAAGAACTTCAAGTGGGAAATCCTCTAGCATCTGCCGTACCGCCCCAAGTGAAGAAGCACTTGAAAGGTCGCCGTTTCATGTCGGACGTAGAGTGCAGGACGAGGTCAGCGATTTGATCGCCTCACGCCCGAGGGAAATTCTGCCAGCGAGACTGGTGTTAGTGCAACAGTGAAATAAATGCTCTAGAAATCAGTAAAGGAGAATTTACCGTGGGTCGGGTTTCATTTTGGCAGCGTCTAATATAGTCTAATGTGTATCGTCACTATTCAGTTCATTGCCATAAAGAAGACTACATCCTATCCTTTCAGAAGTGTCTATTGACACTTAAGGGCGTGTATCCAATTTTGGGAAATATATGTCTCTGATGTTACATACAATTTTATTTTGATTTCATAGTGTATTGGCAAAGAAATAAAATGTTAATATTGCAGATGTACCGGACACGACTTTGTTTGCATTTCACGCAAACATCAACGATGATATTCTCACACAACTTCCAGGAAATATTAATGGGGAAACAAGGACTCCAACAAATGGATTTTGGATATTGGAATTCAATAACAAACTAAAACAGGGAGACGAGGTTAACTACTGGATGAACGTAAATGCAAATCGCCGTGTATATAGAAAGGATTCCATAAAAATTATCCGTAAGTTGTTGCGAACAAAAAAAACTTTGGCATAAATACGATCTGCACCAGGACTTTTGGATGAATACACTGAGCTTAGGAATAGATGCGATCCCGCGTCCACAGTTATTAATGCGGATAAATCGACGTGTCTTTATAACGTGATCTTTCAAGATAAATTCGAGGGAACTGCTCTCAATACGATGCTTTGGAAGGTGGAGCACAAAATTCCCACCTATTCCGAACCGGTAAGTCAATAGCATATGCATTATAGGTACCTCTTAATGTAGCCTTACAGAATTCGCCATTTAATTCGTATGAAAATCGGGAAGATACCCGATTTATCAAAGATAACAAATTGCACTTGAAACCAAACGCAGTTGCCGAAGCAGAAGTTCGTGGAACCTTAAATTTGAGAGACGGGTACGTTTTTTTCTAATCTCATGACTCTCCTCGTAATAGGTATACCTTAAACAGATGCACGGGAACTAAAGAAACAGAATGCTTCTACGAACAAAGATCATCGTTTCTGTTACCACCAGTCAAATCGGCTAAAATTGTTTCAAAGACTTCATTTAAGTATGGCAAGGTCGAAATTAGAGCCCAACTGCCCAGAGGTGACTGGATATTCCCCAGTAAATACCCTACGGTGAAAATTACATGGTTTGGTCTAGTTTTCACTTTCAGTTATACAATTGGAGTCCGCCCAAAAGGATATCGCAAATCCGTCAAAAATTTGGATAGCGTACAGTAGAGGTAATACCAAATTAATCATGAGCGATCCAAACGACATCGATGTACGTAAATTTAGTGACAACGATATTGGGGGGCGTCTCTTGCTCTCAGGACCTGTGGCGGAGGTGGAGGAACCCGAACGAAGTAGACGGTTGGTTCACAAGTATGCGAATCAACCGTTCTTTGACGATTACCACATTTATGGCTTGTTGTGGACCAAAAGTAGGTCCTATAACGTGTTTTGGAAAATGTGCTAGTAAACTGTTTCAGATGAAATGCGTTTCTACATAGATTCTGAGGAGTATGGATCTGTAGACTTGAAATCATTAACAGAAAACTTCGATCGAGAGGTTAGTACACTTTATCCGCCACTTTAGTTCATTGAAGCCTATGATAATAAGAAGACTAAACGCCAAACGTTCCTTTGGGGCGTAACACACACGTATTTCGGAAATTAACTACCGCTTCCTTTTCTTCTGTGCTTTTAACTCGTTCCAATGTTACAAATAATCGATTACTTACCTTCCTTTTATTTTCAGTGCGTCCTGAGTTTAGGTGTTGGAGTTGGAGGATTATTCGATTTTCCCGAAGGAGTCTCAAGTAATAAAAAACCATGGAAAAATGAAGACAGACACGCAATCAAACGATTCTTTGAGGGGAAACCCACATGGCTTCAAACGTGGGATGACGAAAAGTCCTGTCTTATTGTCGATTATGTACAAGTTACGGCGGTTTAAACCATGTCTAGCCCATTGTGTGTCTGGGAAGAACTGTTGATGTATATTATAAAAATGTATTACTAAATCAAATAAATTTTATATTTAATATGACCACCTTGCTTCATTACTAAAAGTTGAATTAACTGCAAGAGAGCCGCCCAAAAAGGTTATCGCAACCCCAAGTTAACGGATATTTCCCTTTATAAACATCTCCTTGGAGAAAAACTTAGAGAGTAACGAATCAACCCTATACCCATCCTTGGTGGTGCAGGGCGCTCGAAATGCAGAAAACTCAGTTGGACAAAGAGTTCAATAAATCCAGGAAGAGCAAAACTACAGCCAACCTATAAGGTAAACCTAAGATTATATAAGAAGGATGTCAGGGAGAGGCATAGAAGAGCTTTTGCAGCTCTATAGAATCCATCTCCTCTGCATTCCGCCGAAATAAAATCCTAATAAGGGATTCATATTACAACCCAGGTAGTCTCTGAAGATAGGATGGTACCTATACGGACAACCTGTCATGTCGGCCTGTGTGTTACAGTTCAGTTGAAGCTGGACTGCGGTACAAAGAGTCCCTGGTTCGAATCCGAGTTCGGGCATGGATATTTATAAATGGGTTAGCCTTGGCTGAAACCCCGCCCAGTCAAAAATAAAAGCAAAAATTTAAAAAAGTAAAATGTTTTTTCGACTGGTAACAAATACACAAATAAGTTTACAATAGCTCTTAGTCCATATCATTTAAAAACCTCATAGGGATCCAAAGATTCCTGGATGGTGAATAATTACCCTAACTAAGGGCAGCGCTTTTTCGTAATTGCAGCTCCTTTATGAGATATGGAAAAGCTTCAACAGAATTGACAATTGAAGTAGGCTCGTATATTAAATACCCAACTCGTCCCAGGTCAATAGGTTCTCGTTTATTCATGCAGTGATCACGATCTTTTGCCAGGTCAAAGTTCATATTCGCGATTTTGATGCGTCGAATATATTCTGTTATTATATCGTTTCTGTGGCAACCACATATTTAATGAAATCAGATGCAATGGTAAAAGAAAAAATTCCTCAGTATTACAGTTTATCCTCACAAGCCTATACAGAGACGAAACGGTCCTTTACTTAAAACGAGGTGTTAGGCAAGGCGACCCGACAAGTTCAGTCCTATTTGCAATAGTAATACATCCAATTGTCCTAGCCATGGTGTCAGAGCTCAACCTGTGGTTCCTGGATGATAGAACGGTAGCTGAAGACCCGTCTACCGTGCTGGATGATTTGAAGAAAATTCAACACATGGCTGACAAGGTGGGACTAATTCTAAATCCTACAAAATTTCTACCCCTAGCATACAGTTTTTGGGTAGCTAGAAGCGTTTTAAGTTGGGCGCTTCGTTACGTTCATGCTTACTTTAAGGCAGGAAATTTCAGTTTCCATGACAGAGATAGACCAAGCTACTTTTCCTGCCACCTGTCACTTTACCGGCTGCACTTGTCATTTTACCGGCCTAACCTGTCACTTTTCTGGCCGAAAGTGTCACATTGCTAAATGTCTATAATGACTCCTGTCATCACTGACATATTGACATTAATCAGAAGTTTTCTATAAGTATAAAAATTGAAATTTTATTTAAAAATACGCTTTCGGATAAATTTAATACAATACTCATCAGTAAAATGACATTACTTGACTCGGTAATTAAAGTACTAGGCCCCAAAGAGGCCTCGTACTTCAATGTTTCCTCGCAAGACTTTTACGTACATAACTATTGCAAAATTTTCAATGGGAATTTTTAAGACGATTTCCAAGGCGATTTCTAGAGGAAGTAATTTCCAAGAGTACAAAGTTGTAACAAAGTTTCTATGCATATGGTACTTGTTCTTGTTTCAATTCCCCTCTTAGTGACCGCCTTACTATGCAGGCTGTTTCACGCAAACCGTTATACCTAAAAGTATTCAGGCTTTCATTAATAATTTAAATCTGACAACATAGTTTTTCTTGATCTATCGAATATTTTCATGATTGTTTTACTTCTGGTTCTATCGGATGTCGACAGCAACTTTCTTATTTTAAATAGAACACCTTGTATATTATTGCATGTTTGAAATCTACATGAAAATTTACGTCGTTTGATAATAAATAAATAAAACGGAAAACATAACAGATAGGTATAGGGAATGTGTTGCTTGGTCGATGTAGAATTTTTTTCGACATATGAAGGTGCAAAAAAAGAAAGCAACTAAAGTTGACCATTAGTTTTAAAACACCCTGCAGAAAAGTGATCAAAATTTAAGTCATTGTCAGGCAGCATCAAGTTAGTACTGTCGATTTTGGAATACTAATTGAAATTCAAGTCAACGGAGTCATAGGTACAGGGCTCAAAAGAATAGCAGTCAAACGTCAAAAATTTTGAAAAATCTGAAATAACTTGAAAACCTTTGATTCTGGGTATAGGGAAATGTGGTATCAAACGATGTAAATTTTCATGTAGATTTCAAAAATGCAATAACATTCTTAAAAAAAGTTCTATTTAAAATAAGTTAGTATGCAAATTTTCAGATTTAAATATTAATGAAAGCATACTTTGAGCTGTAGATACCTTAAACTTAGGACAGAGTAAAGAAATTTAGATGTGTTATTTTGGAACAAGACCACACACATTTTCGAAATGCACAACCCAACCTTTGTCTTTTATCCGAAACTAATTCCTTTGACTTTTGACATTGAACTGATAAGATGGACGGAAGATAACGGAGTACTGACCGATGCTTCAGTGTATACAGTTTAAAAGAAAGTGACGACGGTGTAAATATGTGCGTCAATAGGATTTTATGCATTCTCTTTCTCATATATGTGGTTAAAGGGAGTTATGTGATACCACCATTAAAATTAGAAGCTTTAAAGAAGGGAGGATTTCGTGTTTACTTTCCCGGTAAGTAATTCGAATCTTAAAATGTGTAACGTTAGTAACGGGACCTCACATATCTCCTTAGTTTTAAAGATATTTGATTGACCGTCTTTTAGATGTCATTTAGTTTGTATTTATGGCACAGCTTAATATAGCGTACTAGTGCAGACTACCTTTTAGTTTTAGCTCAAACTACTGCTCAGGTAGTTTAGTATTTTTAGTAAGATTTCGATTTTATAGAATTACAAGGGTCGCCTTAAATAAAAAAACAAAAGGTCACATTTCAAAGGTCACATATTTTAGTAGTGTCGTTGAATTCAGAAAATTATTCAGAATTCAATGCAATAATATACAGGGTGTTCTATTTAAACATTTTCGGCGAAACCGAAAGTAAAAAGTATATAGGTAAGTCAGCTGTATGTCGTAAAACTAAGGGAGCTAAGTGGATGGCACTATGGTTTTGGTACACCCGGTATTTGCGTATTTAACTCCAGTTTGTATATTCGTTTTTTACGCGATTAAATGTTGGATTGCCCATGGCGAAATTGTATGACGCCATGGGATTTCCCATGTACCTAATCGATAAAGCGCACATTAACATTATCTACTTTCGAAGTAATATCACGACTGATTTTGTTAACCTTCATACTCGGTATACCTATCTATAGTCGATCTGCTTTAAATGATATTAAAAAATTTGCTAAACCAAACGGGATAAAGCACTATAATTGTGCATTACATTACAGACACAACGAACGCTTAAATTCATTCGTGCCCCCAAAGAAAAATCTTCCAGGTCGTTCATGTAATCAAAAGCCCTCGCGTTTCGTCGTTAAAGTGCAATGACCATTGTTTAACAGGAATTTCACAATAACTTGCACCATTCAAAAAGAAAGTTAGTAGGACATTGAAAATGTTTCAGTTGAAACGGACTCATTGGATAACCCATATGTATTTTTCATAAACATATTTTTAATGTACCATATTCTGTGGGTCAGATTGGGTACTTATTAACTAAATAATAGGTACTGGACCACTAACTATAAATTATTTTATTTGTTACTCAGTTGTAAATGGTGATTAACAAGACAAAACGCAAACGGGTAAACGTCATGTTTAAATGCTACTGACTTGTAAAACTGACAGCAGACTTGTAAAACTGACAGCAGACCTGTAAAAATTTTACAAGTTAGTAATCTAGTAATTTCATTGGCCAGAATTAATGCGAAGTCTCTGTTACATGGATCACATGATATTTTAGACATTTCTTCAAGATCAATTTAAGAACTAATTATTTACGTTTACTATTGTTTACAAATGAGTAACAAATAAAATATTGTACATTATACGCCAGGTAATAGTTTTTACTGGCTCTAGGAGATGACAGGCTCGCCTAACGGCTCGCCAGTCAACTTCTCCTATCGCCAGTAAAAACTCACTTACCTGGCTAATAATGTAAAATACTATACAGGGTGACAATTTGAAAACTTACCACCCCCCATATCTTAGTAAATAAACGAGATATTTTAAAAAATCAAAATCCGTTTCGGTAAGTCGAAGGGGGAATCACAATGACATAGTTGGCGACGCACCCCCTCCAACCCCCTGCGCCCCAGCCACCCCAACTTTTAAATCTTAAATAGTGACCCCCCATGTGTGATACGTCGTTCGAAAGCTCTGAAAAAATGCTTTTCAACCACACCAAATAGCATTACATTTAGGTTAGTAATTATCGTGCAAATCAAAAAATAAACTAATATGATACATTTGAAATCTGTCATTTTTACAACGCAACCGGCGAACATAGACGAACTAAGAATAATTCAAGAATGTCGAAATATTGCAAAACCAACATTGGAAAGGTTCGACAAGAGTTTGAGAATAGATTGGAAGTTCAAGTTAAATACGATTTTCCATGTTTATTTTTTGATTTGCACGATAATTACTAACCTAAATGTAATGCTATTTGATATGGTTGGAAAGCATTTTTTCAGAGCTTTCCAATGACGTATCACACATGGGGAGTCACTATTTAAGATTTAAAAGTTGGGGTGGCTAGGGCGCAGGGGGTGTGAGGGGGTGCGTCGCCAACTATGTCATTGTGATTCCCCCTCCGAATTACCGAAACGGATTTTGATTTTTTTGAATATCTCGTATATTTACTAAGATATGGGGGGGTGGTAAGTTTTCAAATTGTCACCCTGTATAT